AAAAATAATAGTAAAAAAAAAGTTACTTTCCATAAAAATATCAATATGAAAAAACCTGTTCACTTTTATATTCCTGCACGTCAAAGCATGATTCTTCGTTAATAGAATAAGGCCCTGCTCATCTTAATCTATACTATAATAAAACTGTAGATTGTTTGTCTGTTTGAACTCACTAATCTCCGGAACTACTGAATGGGTTTTTATGGGGCTTTAACCGGTATATAGAGAGCAACCTCGGACGTAATCTAGGGTATAAAAAATGAGATCTGACAAGGGGGCGTGGCACCTCCAATAGGCGTGACATTTTTAATCAGCTATAACTTCGAAACCGTAAGTCACATGACTTCGAAATTGGATTTGTTGACATACATATCTATGGTAGATGCTTATAGTAAAGTACACATTTTTTTGTAAAAGGGGCGTGGCACATCCTATAGGAGTGCAATTTTTAATCAGCCATAACTTCGGAATCATACGTCACATGGCTTTGTAATTGTCCTCTGATTCGTAAAATATACTTTTGCAAAAAATGGTGCCGACAGATGGCGCCGTAGTCGAGATATTTCGAGAACCCGTCTTTATCGTATGACCTGGCTTAACGGGTATTAACTTTATGNGCTTTATGGTAAGAAGTGTTTCTCACGATATTTAGATGCCCCTATACAAATTTACATTTTAGATGAATTAGAGAGAACATGGTATATCAATGACCCGTTTGAACGGCAAAACTCTTTCAACCTGTGGAACAGCAGGATTATAGGAGAAGATTACGCACTCTCGCAAACTTTGCAATACTTGCAAATATCTCACAGGTGGAAATAAAAGCTCATAGCATCGAAGGATATGAGTACTTAACCCGAATGTTACCTCAGCGCTTTTATTCTTGGCCCATGAGTAAGCAAGGTTCTGATCTTCAGTCCTTTCAACCTAAACTAATAATTTTTTTATTACAAACCGTTTTTGCATAGCAACACTATTTTACTATTGGTCAACGTAAATGTTCTTATAAGGCGTCGCGAAGCAAGAAAGGCATTTGCTAGTTGAATAATAAACGTAGAAGTTATGAGCACTTAAATAGAGATACATACAAAAATTTCAACACAAATTTATGATTTGCATATTATGGAGCACACACCTTTTACTAAAATTTTGAATTACTATATCTCAGAAATGGTAATCCTTAGCGTTTTGTTGAAAAGTTCAAAAAATCAAGTTATGTGACCTTAACCTTGAATAAGTTTTTTTGCAGACGTGGGATCGATGGGGAGTTTTGACATTTCATTCATAATAGTGTTCGCAACATTCGCACCGATTTTCAGCTTTGTGCGAATTATTGTAAGCTATTTGTTGAGCTAACTTGGCTAGGCTATTGATCTTGCGGCCCTTTAAATAAGAAATAGATATCAAAAGTTAATTCTTCGTATCAAAAAACCCCCAAATACAAATTTGTATTACAAAAAATTACATTCGTAACACTTTAGTAAATATTAATCTGCATATTAACTTATCATCAATACCTTCTTTTAAAATTGCGCAGGCTCGAAATTGACTTAAGAGCTATGGTCTGGAGGAATTTTTTTCTTAGAATTTTATGAAGAATCCGAATCTGCTAGGAACGATGTCCAAAAAACTTTATCCATACCAATTGACCCGCCCTAATATATATGTATATATATATGTATTTATATATATATATATATATATGCTAGCAGACCCGCGAACTTCGTCCCGCCCAAAATTAGATTTTTCTCCAACAATCCACATTTACGATTTGTACTGCCACATTCATTGACTAAGACTATGGTTTGGTGGTCGTTTTCCGCCCTAAATAACCGAACGAAAGTGTTATGTCCGTGAGAAGTTCCCTGGTTGCAACAATGATCCGGATCTATAGTGAATGTGCCCTAGAAACTTTAACTTATAGTTGGTGGCTATTTCAAAATGGATGCGTATCCTTGTTAAACAGAAATACCTTAAAAGACAGATTCACGAAAGCAATTTAAGTGAAAAATGATTTTTTCTGCCAGGTTCTATATTAAATTCAATTAAAAAAATACATTTTCATTCAATTGCCTTCATGAAACTGGGTTTTAAGGTACTTCGACAGGTGGTGAGATTTACCACTGCACAGCTCAACCCTGGTGTCTCCGAATGAAGCTGTAACGCATAATAATATTGGCAAATCACAACCATTGGGCCAATCTAACACACGAGAGTTCGATATACTCAATGGTGCAACAGGCCGATTTATATTACGTTCAAATTGGCCCCATTTAACTTGTTAAATGAAAAAGATCTTTTTGGAAAACACAATCGTCCACATTGAACATTTGGAGTTAACTTTGACGTTTGTTTGATTACCAATAAAGATTCGAAAAAAATATTCAAAATCAAGTTTTTGTGTTTCAATTTGTTTTGTGGGAATGTCTGCTACATGATATTAACTCATACGGATTACTTAGAAACTTCAAAGTGTTTAGTTCGTATGCACTATTTATATCTGCGTACGATGAGACCTCATGGGAAATAACTAATTGCCGCCTTGGCCTCTTTTTTGGCGGGCAGGCATGCATACAATTTTGATATTTTTTGATAATTTTTAATTTTTTATATTTTTCAGAATATAAATTTGTTGAACGTTGGCGTGTCAGATGAAAGCTTTTGGGTCTTTATGATTGGCTGGAGCAGAAAGCTTTCCGATACAACTCTGCGTTGAACTGGTTTTCAAACGAGTTAAATGATTTAACTGGTTCAATTTTCCAACAACAATTGCATGAGATTTAACTTGTTTATGAACGTGTTTTGTTCATTTAACTGGTTCAAGCTGGTTGAAGCCCATTTAACATGTTTAGCTCGTCAATTTGAACGTAGTATTAGTCTGACATTCACGGCACCTTTTCTCACTTGTCAATTTGTAATAATAACTCGACCTCAGCATCACCTGCCAGCTCTTTTTTGCAATCGGACTGCCTTTATCGTTTCCAATACATGTTTTGACTATTCGCCAAATCGGATCATAAAAAAGATTGTTAGTAATAACTCAACTCCAGACACCCAATCAAACACACACACAAAACTTTCTTATAATCCCTCCAGCCATTTAGGATGTCACTCACATATATACCTACGGAAGAATTATATACACATTCAAAGATAAGTAAAAGTCAGTACGTTTGTACTTTGCCACGCCCTCTTTTCATATATCTCCATACCAAGTTCCAGTACTCTACCATGAATACTTCCAGAGATATGCAGTATGAAAAATTCGGTTTGTATTGGAGGTGCCACGTCCCCTTTTCCAAAAACCACAACTTTTCTCCAAGAGTATGCAATGGATTTCATATATATCTCTACCAAGTTCCAGAACTCTACCATCAACATTTCCAGAGATATGGAGTATGAAAAATTCGGTTTGTATGGGAGGTTCCACGTCCCTTTTATTTATCGAGATTTTTGTTAGCCGATAACCATCCTTTTACCGTCTGCAGTAGATGTCGGAAATTTCCAAAAAATCGGTTCAGCCGTTCTTGAGCTTTGCGATATACATATACCACGTTTATATGATGCTCCAATTCCTTCTAAGTCAAACCATGTTAAATGGACACACACATGTAAACACATTCTCTAATCGAATTGAAACTTTTAACCGTGCCACCATAAATCGCATTTTGAATGTGAGTTAAGAGTTGTTGAATCGTGTTAAGAGTGCATGTTAACACGGAATTTTTCCATACAGTTGTTTCATGCAACTTTGTATAAAGTAAACCATTTAAATAGTTCTTTAAATTACATTTATTCCAAGCTTTGTTATAAAATTAATAGCTAAGATAATTTTTACAAGGCTGTTTGAGTCTTTAATTGTTATTTTTCAATGTTCATTATTTTCTAGAGTTTACACATGTATTAACAGGGTTTCATCGGGATAACCTCTGTTTGAAAGTGTGTTCGATCGGCTCCTTTCTTGTGTCGCATATAAACTCTTGCATATCAAGCGAGCTACGCTGACGTGAGTTAATTCAAAACCGCGTTTGATGCCATATAAACAAGGTAATACATGGATGAGAGTTGCTGCTTTTAATATTGCGCTCAGTTACGTACAAAAAACATAGCAGCACGGTTTTTATCCCAGGAAGAACAGTTCACCAGGTGACATAACCCTAACGCGTTCCATTCTTATCGGCACGAAACGTGACTTTTTTTGTATGCGTGTAATTTTTCAAACCAAATAGTTTGCCTGCTTGCTCATATGTGAAAAGATTAGCTTGACTACTTACTCATATGTGAAAGATATATGGCGCTCCAATCAAAAATTATTACAGGTGTGTTAGTAACACCATACAATTTTTGTGTTTGTGTTGGAGTTTCGGTCACGCTGGTTTTGCTGGGATGCGTAATTATATACATACATACATAAATATGCAAGAATAATAGAATACAATACCCTGCAAAAATTTTGCTTACAAGTAATGCGTAAAATCATCGAGAAACTCATTTTCATCGCTTACGTTTTCGTTTACAGAACGCATTATTTTAATATGGGCATGTCATTGGTGGTAATCGCTTACTTTCTGTGACCTTATAATGCAATTAATATTTTCTTCTAAAATGAAAATAAATAACCGATTCCAAGTAATTGGTTCTACAATTTCTCGAAGTAATCGTTTACATGATATGACCAAGTAATTGATGTAGTAATTTCTACTTTTTAATCGCTGCAGGAAGGCATTGTAGAAATGAAAAATAACCGATTCCAAGTAATTGGTTCCATAATTTCTCGAAGTAATCGCTTTCATGATATGACCAAGTAATTGATGTGGTAATTTCTACTTTTTAATCGCTGCAGTAAGGCATTGTAGAAATTAAAAATACATTTTTAAAAATTCACTTTTATTATTTCATTTGCAATAAAGAAATACTAAATTCTGTACTACAAAAATGAACATGATAAACAAAAACAAACTTCAACAAAAATAACTGAAACAATCTGAATTCAACGGGTCATAAAAAATTACGTAATTAGGGAAGTAAAACTATTCATTTTGTTCTGACAGAGCTTTTTTGTTAACACAAATATTTTTAAAATGTCGATTTTTGACGCGTCTAAGACCTGTCCTTAAAGCGTGAAGAAAGGCTTTTTCATTTATTCCGTCCTTCTCAACTGCCCCTGAAAACAAAATATAACAAATGGAACTCAAAACGAATGAATGTAATACGACAAGTACCATATAAAACTCCCATAATTTTCGTATAGTTTAGAAGCCTTTTTTTCCCCTGCTTTCCGTCTAAATTAGTATCTAAAATAAATTCCGTCGAAAAAATGCAGTCCATATTTTTTTCAAATCCTCCATTTTTTATAAGACCTTGTACTGATGCAGCCTGGATAAGAAGAAAAGAGACAAAATACAAAACAGGGTAAATGAAAAATTCAACATTTTCACGCTTTTAAACAATCACGCTGCTTACCATTTCATTTTTTTTCATCAGTTATGATTCCTTCCAGTTTTTCTAGCTCCTCCTCCGTCTTGATGGGGAAGCTACCAATATACAAAGGTTTCGCGTACAAAAGTATCTAAATTATTTAATATGTATATGTGTATATAGCAGTTTCAGTAATAAAAATACATGTTCAGTCAGTGTCAAATGTAAATGTACACCTTGTTCTAATATAATATCCACAATTATTTTCATGAAAAAATTTTTCATTAATTATTTATGAAAATATAGTTTATTCTATAACATAAACCATATAAATCACACTTTATATAAAATTCACACAATTTTCATCACAATTTCATAATTTTTATTCAGAATTTCTAGAAAATATTCGAGTATGTATGTTTTGTAGGTAGCCCGTTCAATTTTAGTAGAACAAAGTGCAAGTTTCAAGTCGCTAGAAATTACCGTTGATTTTTTAGATTTTTTTTTGTGGAGGGTGTTGCGCATTTTCTTCCATATAACGTGTGATCTAAATCTATTTTTATATGGAAGAAAATTCACAACACCCTCCACAGAAAAAAATCTAAAAAATCAACGGTAATTTCTAGCGACTTGAAACTTGCACTTTGTTCTACTAAAATTGAACGGGCTACCTACAAAACATACATACTCGAATATTTTCTAGAAATTCTGAATAAAAATTATGAAATTGTGATGAAAATTGTGTGAATTTTATATAAAGTGTGATTTATATGGTTTATGTTATAGAATAAACTATATTTTCATAAATAATTAATGAAAAATTTTTTCATGAAAATAATTGTGGATATTATATTAGAACAAGGTGTACATTTACATTTGACACTGACTGAACATGTATTTTTATTACTGAAACTGCTATATACACATANGAATTTTATTTTACCTTTAAGTAGGGCAATTTCATCTCTCAAATGCTTATTGTCATTGCGTATTTCTGTTATTTCATTGCATATAGCTGCTAAAAAGACTAGAAGTAGAGAAAAAATCATATGTGTAAGCTTTGGTTTATTGTAAAATCTAAAAATCTCAGTCATTACCTTTTATTTCTTCAATTCCCTTTTGCTGAAGATTCTGTAAGTTTTCATTATTGCTGGATTTTCTTTTCTTAGAAAGAATTTTTTCGGCCATAGTTTTTTGTTATTGTATTTTTTTGATGATATGATTTTGAGCTGAACTACAATATTTTATGCTAGTGAAAACTGCGTATACGACAACTTTTATTTTTAAGAAATCAGTTTCTTTTTATAGTTTATTCAGTTATAAGTTATTCACATTAAAGGCAAGTGTGTACAAGTGGAACAAGAAGTGCACGATTTTTGTAAGGAAGATAGACTAATTTATTGAAAATTTTATCTACCTCAAACATTTCCTCAGCGCCACATAAATTCTGGTCAATTAAAGCAATCCCCAGGTGTAAAGATGAAACAGGCTCTGTGGAAAAATCTTCCGGGTTAAGCATTCGCTTACCTTTAAAATGTCCGTCCTCGTAAATTTCAATAATTTTCACGGGAGTATATGTTTCAATTGAGCAGAAGTTGTCAGGAAAAATGGGACTGAAAATAGCAGTAGGTGAGCAAAACATTATCACTCCATTTGCACATTTTTTAAACCCTTGAAAGGATTTTTTATATTTCAATGGTGTATTAAAAAACCTATTATGTAGCTGCTGTGGAATATGCTGCGGTTTTCTAATATTTTTTTAAGGGTTTTATTGTAGTTTTCAAAGTCATAAGCTGTGAAAGTATCAAGACAACCAAAATTTCTAACTGAATCTGCCAAGTGCAATAAGTTATGCACATTGTAAGAGATACTTGTTTCTCCATAGATGTTTGTAAAGTTCTTCACAAAATGTTTTAGCATTTCATTTGCGTTTTCTATATTTGAACGATAGTTTTTTGACAAAGAAGCATCCTATATGCGCACAGTAACAGAAGGAAATGATAAAATATTTCTTCTGACAAAAATTCTTTAAAAACAACCAGACTTGTGTACAAAGCGAACTGTCTAAACTCCACTGCTTTCCATCGAAGCAACTCATCAAAAGACCTTGGCTTTCTTGCAAATTCTTTTGAAATATAAGGTATAAAAGATGTTAGCAAAGCCGACATTTCAATTTTTTTAACAGGTGGAATTTTTATACGACCTTTTCCATTAAAAAGCAGCACCAAAATTTTTTTCATAACGCCTAGATCTATTAGATGCATTGCATCTAGGGGGAATTGCGTTATCATTTTAATACCTATTTCTTCTAGGCAATGTGCCATATCCATATGTGAAGGCTGATGGAAATTTTTATCACTTCTTTTTTCAAAGCTTGAATCAGTACGAAGTGCCCCAACTACAGGACTGTAGGTTGTAACATTTCTAATTCTAAAGCCGATTTGTTGACATTTACTGCATCCTGCTAATGAAGTGTGACCTTTTATACAACAAATAAATGAACGTGCAGGTGCATCACATATGAAAGATCGTATTTCAAATTTAATTGTCTTACCGTTGCAAATAAAACCATTGCTAATGAGACTTTTAACTTCTGTTACAAAGTCATGTAAATATGAATCAACAATAAAAGGCTTTGTTTGCCAACAAAGCTTCCTATCAAAAAAACCTATTTATTGGGGATATTTACGAGGCGTCCTAATATTGGCCACAACGCAACCGAAGAGCTTTTATATAATGGCAATCCATCTATTCCTACATCCAAAATTACCTCACTGATTCTGGCTATTTCCATTTCATCTGCTAATTTATATAATTGGTTTTCAATGCCTATATGAATATATTGCCCCGGAGAAACGGTACGAATTTTCATAGCCCGATTTCTTTCCAGTAATCCGGACACACTTCTTGGCACCTTGCGATATTTAGATACTCAAAAGTTTCGTACAACATTTTTGGGAAGGAATAAATTCTAAGTACCAATCTTGCAATTCCTTCCTTAATGTTTTTTTATTACTTGCACTAAAATAATTTACTTCACAATAATCGTGCACTTCATTATTTTCTGAGCTGTTCTCTCGAGCGCAGCACTTGTTTCATTATCTTTAAAATATTTTCTCAAGCGATCACACTCTTTTTTTATTAATCGTTTTTGATGCCTGTTACTAATCAGATTTATTATTTACTATATTTTTTAATGTTACAGTTTTATTATAATTTTTGTTTTAACTTACACCCACCGATTTATTCACCTCCGCGCACTTTACTTCTGCATACAAGACTGGTGAAATAAATGAAATTGACAAAAAATGCCAAACAAAAAGCAAAAAGAAAACAAAGTCATATAAGTTGCAAAAAACAACGGGATAGCTATTCAAATTTTTCGCTTATTTGTTGCATTACAAGTAAACGAAAACAAAAAAAAAAACAAAAAAAGTAGATGTTGCAAAAAATAACGGGATAACTATTCAAATTTTTCGCTTATTTGTTGCATTACAAGTAAACGAAAACAAAAAAAAAAACAAAAAAAGTAGATGTTGCAAAAAATAACGGGATAACTATTCAAATTTTTCGCTTATTTGTTGCATTACAAGTGGCGTTCAATTCAAAAAATAATGCATTACATACAGGGTGTCCCATAAGTAACGTGCCAAACTTTAGGGGAAGGTGGGTGGGGGGGTGAGCTCCCTGATAAACAAAAAATTTTCAGGTAAAAGTGTCACCGTTTTTGAAATATTTACATTTTTTCGAATTTAAAAAAAATCGTGCCTTTTCATGTGTTTTCTTTAACTGCAACTACAAACCGGGCAATACTTAGTAAATTTTTTATGTAAAATACTTCCAGATAGTTGCCTCTCCATACTCAAATGCAATGTAGTTAAAATATATTAAGGAACCATCATAAAATTAGGACTATTTCTGGATTTTTAACTTTTTGATATTTTCTTCCCCAACTTTGACTATC